GTGGGGTCAATAACAAAGGAGGCTTAGCAGGAGACAAGAAGACAGAGGGAGGCGGAGTTTGATTGGCTATCTTAAGACGTGTTTCCTCGGAAAAGAGCTCACGAACAATAGCATCCACAGAGAGAAGAGGAGATCGGTGAAGGATGTCACCACGAATAGCCTCACACTGAGGAGAGAAAGCCGTTAAGAATTGCAATAAATGATCCCGCTCCCGAAACTCAACGCGCCTAGTACCTTGAGGTTGGGTGGTTCCATGAGAGCCAACTGATTCCAGAGACTTGTCATCTCAATATATAAATCCTGAATAATCTGACCCCGCTAACGAGCACTTTGAATAGATGTTTCCAACTCATATTGCTTGGCAAAGTTGGACTACTAATAAACACCCAGTAAATAATCTCACACCTCCTTGGCAGTACTGTATTTGGAAAACATCATTCCAATACGGTCATCTACAGAATTATGAAATCAGGTCAGAACTTGAGCATTATCACAATCCCAAGTATCACAAGAAGTCAGATATCCTTTCTCCTTCGGGTCTGATGGACGAGGAACAAAACCAGAAACATAGCTTCATTTTTTCTGACCAAGAAGAAAATTCTTTATAACACTAACCTAATAGGCATAATTGTTACTAATGAGTTTGCATTTGATGGCTTGAATTTTAGTGTCCGACATTATAATAAACCAAAGGAGGAAAAGACAATGAACTAATAGCGGTCTAGGTGTAATAAAAAGAGAATTAATGGGTTAAAGAGTAATAAGCGGAGAACTGAGGCTTGAGACTATAATAAACCAAGAGCAAGACAAGATGGTCAAATACGACCAAAGCGAGCCACAGAGAGAACCAGAGAGCAGCTTGATTACGACTGAGGTAAAATTGAGGCTTTGTTATGACCCAAACCCGCCCCTAATAGTTTGGGTCTTAACCGGCTAATAATCACTTGATTACCTTCGGCCTCATACAAACATATAGAATAATTATAATAATGGAGCCATAAGCGGAAGCATACCACAATGAAGAAGTCGGTTAAGTTGTGCCAATATGAGCAAAATTATAAAGCTTACACCATAATACATTCACACATATACATGTGGATCCCAAAAATATAAGTACCATAGGAAATTTTATACATATCATTTACATATCCCAAGACCAAAATAGCAAAAACAAAATAAAGTCAAAGCATCATGGGAGTCAAAGGCAAAACTTCATCTTAGAGGCATGACTCAACAAGTTCACAAAATAGCTCCTGAAACTGACTTTAAGAGTGGGCTCCATGCTGCGGATCACCTACATGTGCACACATAATATTGGTTGAGCGAAGCTCAATGAGTAATAATACGGTAAAGCAGTGTAAATGAATGAACATAAAGTTTTCACAATATCCATAATCATAGTACGGAACGGCCTCGGGTCCATCATATAAGCATAATAGCCTTAGGCCCATTACATAAACAGAACGGCCTTAGGCCCATCATATCAGAATGGCCTTAGGCCCATAAAGGTACAAAACGGCCTCAGGCCCACATATTAACAACTGTTTAGAACGACCTTAGGTCCAATCACATATTATCATGTCATTAACAGAACGGCCTTGGGCCCACATATGATACAGAACGGCCTCGAGCCCACATAATGGCCCAAACATATCATAGCATAAACAAAATGTTAGAATTTACCATCACCTACCACCACTACCACCTCACCTACTCTACTAAACCTAACCCACTCTACCACTACCACCTACCACACTTCTCCTACTCTCCACCTACTCCCAAACACACTCCTATATAATAGGAATCTTTGTAATTGTAATGTACACAAAATCAATATAAATCAATCAATAATACATACAATTTATTCTCTCTCTATTTCTCTTTATACATTAAATTTTACACAAAATGACCTTAGGTCCATATTGCACATGTCATATAACTTTTACGAATTTCATTCATTTTGATCAAAGCACAATATTGGCACAATTTACCATTGATGGCTCAAAGTACACAATTAAGAACATATATGTACAATAGTATTACTCACAGTGCATTTGATCTTGCGACGTTTCCTCCGCATACACAAAACATGTCACACATTCGATAAATAATTCGTTCATTATGTATACTTTTCTTTTAGCGATTCACAACCTTTTCCAATGGTTTCAACTTATCATTTCATACTTTGGAGGGTCTACATAAGGTCAAGAATACATTCAAAAGGTCGGAAAGGTCAACACAAGAAAGCAAGGTTTTCTCCATTGCCTAGCCGCACGTGCGGCCGGTCCAACCGCTTGAGTGGTCATGCTTTGCTCGTGCGGAAGTGTGAGCCACTTGAGCGTGCAGAATGGAATTCCCAAGTTTGGTTCGTGGTCCGCTCGTGCGGAGCCCGTGGCCGCACAAGCGGTTTGGGCAAAAACCAAACAGTCCAAAAAAGACACAAAATGAAATCCTCCAAACTCATTTCCAACCCCAAATTCATGCAAAACTAACCCCAAAACATGATATACTAGTATGATACAAGGGTAATTTCACTTTAAACATATCAATCTTGCTTCAACGTCACATTCATGGTCTTATCTTTTTCATACAATCATGAATTTCATACACAAGCTCAAAATACATATGAACATGGTAAATCTTCCAACAAATCTTGGTTGTATAGACCATCTAGAGTTCATTTCATGCATAAATCACAAGATTGAGCTCAAATCACACAAAGTTGATGAAATTTCTTGATTTTATTTCAAACCATTACACAACTCAAAACCTTAGCTCAAAATTCTCAATTTCTTCTTGATTTCATGCCAAAGATGAGCTAAAGACAAAGGTTTTAAGTAATTTCCATACCTTAGCTTCAATCTAGGTTTTGCTCTTTGAACCTCTAGCAAAATCCTAGTTTTTTCTCTTCCTATGTCTCTAACTTACTCTAGCAAAGCTCTCAACCAAAAATGAGGAGCACAAGGGCTATACACATATATGATTTAACTCATAAATCTTAATTTAATTATTACGAATCATAACTTTACAAAATCTCACCATAAGCTCTAAAAATCATGCTAAACACAGATATGAAGTCGGTTTTGGTTTCTAGCGCCTCTAAGGCTTTCAATTTCAGTTCAAAGTTGGAATTGCAATAGATATTCTTACATTCAACAAATATTATTTTAAATTCACATAATTTACATACTTAAACTTGCAAATTCATATAAAACACATAGACACATGTATAATTAAGCATAATACGAGTTGGGTTATCACAGGCTTGATTGTGACGTGGACGGAATCGAAGCTCAGATGAGTCGAAGTCCCAGGGAGATGAATTAAATCCCTAAGTCGAACAACTAAGAAGACGAAGGCAAACAACTGTGACTTCAAGTCGGAGAACTAAGAAAAATCTGAACACTTGCGACTTCAGAGAACCATTCCAAGCCCTGAGTTGAAGGGCTGAGAAGACGAAGACTAGAAGAAGAAAACAAACAGAGGAGATGGGTTGATCAAAAGGATCATGAACTAGAGAACTAGAGGTCAGACTAGGCTTTCGAACACGATTCTGATATCATGTAAGATTTTTGAATGAATTTGTATATTTGATTGTGTATAATACAAGGAGTACAACCTATATATATATAGCAATCCTAGACCTAATCTAAAATCGGAAATGAGAATAAACCTAATATTCACACAATCAATCTAATATATTTACATAATTAACGTAATATTCTCACAGAAAGATCCTCCTATTATGCTCCAAATCAAAGCATCCACATCACACACATCTTGATAATATTATTATTATTATTATTTGTAAGTTTTCTATTCCCAACTTCATTTTAAATAATGTTGGTTTTTTATATCTATTTCTAATATATACATACGTATTTTATTCAAATGTGTCCCTTACGTGTTCATGTCCTAATTTTTAGAGAAATGTCGTGTCTATGTATCCATGTTATGTCTTGTCCATGTCATGTCATGTCCATATCCATGTCCCATGTCCGTGCTTCTTAGCCCAGGAGAAGTGCTGCCAGTTTGGAGTTTGGAATAAAGCTCCTGTGGTGGTACCTTTGATGTTAACATTCTTTGGGATCTTGATCTTAAGGTAGAGATGGTGTGCACATTTTGTTGATCCACTCCAATGTAGAGCCAAAGTGATAGGTTCCACTTCCATATCAGATATAGAATTAGATCCATGTGCGTTCCTGGTCAAATTCAAGATAAAATTGAGGAGTCTGCCGATGCAGCTAGCTGGAGGAACAGCTTTCTGAAAAGCTTCAGTTAACCAAGCTGTGCAGCAAGTATTGCAATCAGCTAGAGGAACATCTATGCCTGCCACATTTGAATGTTAGTCTTTTCTAGGCATTGTAGTGGCTGTGAGAAGGTTATGGATTTTATTTAATTCTTAGATGTCCCACTCAAGTGGTGGAGAAGATCTATCAAAATTAACAAGAAAGGAGCATGAAAATCAGAAAGGGAGAAGACAGCAGCTTTGGAGGTTGGATTTTGCATTGCAGTTCTTACTCCCTTCAGAGTGTCAAGATCAGCAGGGTATTTTCTCTCTGACATTAATTTTTTGTAGACTAAGAGTTGGGGAGCAAAATCAAGAAATTTGTAATCCAGAGATGGAAAGTTTTGTGGAATGAAATCTGAAATTTCGGGTTGATCCTTTATTGCATCATTACTAGACACGGGCAGTAATATGATAGAGTTTGTCATTTATTAGTACTTGTCATATCTTCCTAGTAAGTATAGGTTTTCGAAATTGTCAGTCATATGACCTGTTTAAAGTCCTGAATAGGCATATAAAATCATGATTACATAGCTAACCATCCAGATGTTGAATCTGGTAGATGCCATGTGGGTGTAATTTAGCATTTGATCAACGATCATTACTATTATCTTTCAGTTGGCTACTTTCGCAGTGATCTTATGGCATATTTTTTACTCCTAAACTTTCTATTACCTCTTTTTGGGTGATTAAAGTTTTATTTCCATTACAGGTCTCGGCTTATGCACAGCAATCAAGAGAAAGTTCCAAGAATGAGCAGGCAGCTCTTAATGAGAGGATGCAAGAATACAAAAGACATGTTAATCAAGATTGTAGGCAGTCCTTGAATGACTCTCATGGGTCTCCTAATGAAGATATAATACAACCATTCCCCAGAAGTTCCCATAAAGAGATAAAGGCAGTGATGGAGTCTGCTTCAGAAGGAAAGGTGTTCAATGTCATCTTCTTGTCCTCTCTGTCTACTATCTGTCTTTCTTTCTTTGTAGCATTCATCATTATTCCTTTGAAACAACTTTTGATTTTCATCTAAAGCTAAGACTTCAATAGTTTAGGTTCAAACCATAAAACAAGGATATCTCTCAAAACGTTCATCTAATTTGAGGGGTGACTGGAAGAGAAGATTTTTCGTTCTTGATAACCGAGGCAAGTTGTACTACTATCGCAAACAATGGAGCAGGCCCTCTGTAAGTCATGGAAAACAACTTTGAATATTGTGTGCTTAAATGCTTTTTCTTGTCACTACCACTGCTTACTAAATCTTCAGTATCAGGGAGCTGGGAATCAATTTCCTATACAAAGGAGCCTTGCTTCTGAACCTGGTTCTGGGCTGCTGAGTCGGTGGCTGTCTTCTCATTACCATGGTGGTGTACATGATGAAAAATCGGTTGCACATCACACTGTGAACCTGCTGACGTCGACTATAAAGGTTGATGCAGATCAGTCAGATTTGAGATTCTGCTTCAGGATAATTTCACCAACAAAGAACTATACCTTGCAGGTATATTTTCAAAGGTTAGCTTCATGTATAAATGTTGATTCTTGCATATAAATTTAACAGTGCTAAGACAGTTTATTTTGGTTTTGATATTCTCATTGAATAGTGAGTAGGTGGATTGGTTAATATTTGTTACCATAGACTTACTAGTAATATTCAGCAATCGTGGCAATGCAGGCAGAGAGTTCATTGGAACAAATGGACTGGGTTGAAAAAATAACAGGCGTGATTGCTTCATTGTTGAGTTCTCAGGCACCTGAGGTAGTAAATTGCTATGAACCTCTAGACTACCACATGGCCTTTGATTTTCATTGTCATTTGTCATGATTATGATTCAATTATTTGTCAGCCTTTATGTGCTAGTCCAACAACTGTTGGTCTTTTGTCTTCCTGGGAGAGCAGTTCCATTGGAAGTCCGGATTTTGATCGAAGGACAAGTGGACCACTATTAGCTGAGAAAGACATTCCTTCTAGGAATTTGGTGCGAGCATCTAGAAGTTTACAACAGCTTCAATACTGCGGGAAAAGTGAGAAGCCAGTCGATACATTAAAAAGAATTCCTGGAAATGATAAATGTGCTGATTGTGGTGCACATGAACCAGACTGGGCATCTTTAAACCTTGGAGTGCTTATCTGCATCGAATGTTCTGGTGTTCACCGTAATCTGGGGGTGCATATATCTAAAGTAAGTTACCTGGGCTTGATTTGCACACCTCAACTGTTTCATGTCAATGTCAGTGGTTTTACATGAAAGCTTGAGGCTATGCATGATGATGCTTAGACTTTTGAGGCCAAAACTTTGAGGTGTGATAATTCACATGGAGGTACTAATTTGAGAAATAAATTCATTTTTTATGAGAGAATTTCCAGAAAGATCTTGATTAGTTATGTTTTTTTATGGTCCTAATTAATGTATGTGGCAAATGTAGTTCAGACATATGTTAGAAACTAATAGGAGTTAAAATGTTCCAATGTTGTGGATTTCACACCATGAGAGCTTCTTGGCCAATTCATGGAAAGCAACATTGTACGTTAGTGACCTCGAATCATTTAAGCTATTCTCATTTCATTTGAGAAAGGGCTTATAAAGATATTTATTGCTTGAAGAACATTAGATACTGAATTTGAAATACATTTTTTATATAATAAATCAATGGAAAGAAGGAAATGTTTTTCCTTGTGGACATGGTTTCTTTTTATTTTTCTTTTTTCATTTTAGGTATATTGTGTACATGTCTTAAACATATTCTGCCTCAATGCAAGTTCCTTCTTTGATATTTAACCTAGCAGTTCCCTTATGCATTTTGATTGATGCAAGTCCATGCCCAAGTCTTAGTTATAGTCCATATTCCTTGCTATTTTCCTGCTCTATTCATTTTTTCTTTTGCGTGCTCAATTGGCTGTTGTGGCATGGAGGGAGCTTGATGAACATTATGAACTATTAATTCTCTTAACAATGTTTCTTCGCCAACCTCAGGAGGGGATGTGTGAGAGAACAAGGTCCCATTGTTTGGTAATAGTTTTGCTTGTACTGAAGTTTTTGTTAACTGATTGTATTCCACATTGGCAAGAAAAAATTATCCAGTAAAATTTTTATCAACAGCTTCAAGTGAGCATGAAGAAAAGCTTACAGCACACTCCTAATGCAATTCTGTTTTGTTCTTGGAGGTGCCCTTACCAAAACAAGACCTTCACACTTGCAGTCTAATAGACTTGTCAAAAAAATTTCTCTCCATTGAACCAGTTAACTCTCCAGGATGTCCTAAATTAATATATAAGTGCAATATACACCATCCTGAAGCACCCCTTCTGACATTTATGCCTAAATCTTGAAAGAGAAGGCATCCAACCTACCTTTTAGATTTGCATAAAAGAAAGAAAAGAATAAAAGAAGAAAAGAAAGAGAGAACTGCTGTGTTTATTATCTTACACTTAAACATATTAGGGTTGTTAGAATATATAGTGATATATGTTATTTTTTGTGTTGAGTGAGGGTACTATGGTCATATTGTATACTCTATATTTGTTGATGTTTTAGGTTTATGAAAAGAACCAAGAAACATACGTTTAATAATATATACAGTCTTCTCCTTCTTCCTTCTCTCTTTTTCTCTCTAGCCCTAATCAAAGTTTTCCATACTTTTACACTTCAACTTGGTATCAAAGCTTCGATTCAATCTTATCAAAGTGTTCTTCAGTCACTCGCGATTCCTTTGAGGTGACAACAATTTGCTGATGTCATCTTCCGTACGATGACGTCACAGACTCTACGAACAAGGTGACCCCTTCTTTGTCGCCTTTCTCTTCTGATCTCAATGGTGATTGTTGTGGATTTTTTTTAGACCCTCTGATGTGAGTTTTCTATTTTTGAAAGATTTTCGATTTAATGTTGTCATATTTCTGATTTGAGATAAAGCTCCTTACCCAGAGTTTTTGCTTGTTGAACCTCTTGGGAGCCGAAATAGCCGTAGGAGGCTATCTTTGAGATTGTTTTCGCTTTATGTTGATACTGGGTCAATTTTTGGCGATTTCTAGCGGATTTGCCGTGTTCAGCACCCCTGTTTTGGCCTTGGCTAATCATTTTGGCTCTTCCTTTGGGCTGTTTGGTTGCTTGTTGGTTACTGTTGGTTGGTAATTTCCTTACTCCACTCTGTTCCTATTGGTTGATTGTCTTTGTGTTTTGTTTTTTTCCCTTTGCATCTGCTGATGGTTCTCCTTATCATGGCTGAGCCAAAACATGATGTGAAATCTTCCATAACTAAGGATGATGAGTTCCCCAAGTCTATTACCACTAAGACATTGAATGTCGTTAAGATTTTCTTGCGTGGCAAGAAGTCGCGTTTTCTTACCGACCTTCCACCTGCTAAGGATGGTAAATGTTATGATGATTGGTTGAGTGAGGATTCCTGTGTCATGGGATGGCTTTGGCGTAGTTTGGAGCCTAATGTTGCTACTACCGTTGAATTTTGTGACGCCTCTAAGGCATTTGGGACTCCCTTGCTGAGTCATTTTCTAATCAGAGTGATGTCTCTCAAGTTTATGAGTTGTATGAACAAATTTTTGCTACCCGCCAGTTTGGCCGTCCTCTTCCTGACTATTATGGTGGCTTGAAGACTTTGTGGGATCAATTGTTGCAGCACCGACCTTTTACTACTGATTTGGCTTAACAAAAGAAGTATTGAAAGGAATTTATGATGGCATCCTTACTTATGGGCTTAGATTCTGATCTACGAGGTTTCAAAGATCAAATTCTCACCAGTGAGACTTTACCTTTTGCTGCTAATGCCTATTTTCGATTGTTGCGTTCTTCTTTGGGATAGGCTTCTTTCATATCTGGTTCTTCTCAGCCCTTGTCCTCTTCTGCCTTGATCCCTAGCAGTAGTGACCAAGGGCCTCATCAAGGTAATTTTCTTGGTAGCACTAGTTCTCGTGGATCCCATACTGGTTAACGTGGTTCTCGTGGTGGCCGTTATTCTCATGGGTCTCGTGGTGGTGGTGGCTCTGGTATTGGTGTTGTATCTCGTGGTGATTGGAAATGTATTATTTGTGGTGCCTTGGGTCATTCTAAACCTTGGTGCTGGCAGAAGTTTGATAAACTTGATCATGCGAATCAGGTTATAGATGCTCCATCCTCTCAGTCAACTTCAGTTCCCTCTGGACCATGTGTTTCCCTAACTGATTTTCATGATGCACTCACCACCCAGATTAGCGAGGTTACTGAGATAGTCAATTCTCTTCGTACTACTTTTCCTTCATCTTCTACTGCTACATTAGCTAGCTCAGGTAATATTGCATGCATGACTCAATCCCCTCAACCTTGGTTTTTAGACTTCAGCGCTAGTTCTAACATTTTTAGTAATTCCTCTCTTTTTCATACTCTTCGTCCTGTTACCCGTAATATTATACTTGCTGATGGATCCTCCCAATCTGTTACTGGCCATGGCACTCTTCAGCCCACTCCATCTCTCTCCTTACGCTCTAGTCTCTATGTCTCGTCCTTTCCTTTTAATTTGCTTTCTGTTAGTCAGTTAACTGAAGTTCTACAATGTTCTGTAACCTTTTCTCCCTCTTCTTGTGTTTTACAGGACCTCCAGACCAAGAAGATAATTGGCTTGGGGCATGAAAAAGATGGCTTATATTTTTTGAACATTGCTGGTTCTCCTCCTTCTAGTTCTGATGTTTTGAGTGCTATTGTGTCTCCCTTGCAATGGCATTTCCATCTGGGTCATCCATCCTTGGCCAAGCTTAAGTTAGCTATTTCGGGTTTAAGCCATTTGTCTCAACTTGAATGTGAAGCGTGTTAGCTCAGCAAGCATCAACGTAGTTCTTTTTCTAGTCGTAGTATTAGTCGTGTGTCAACGTCTTTTGATTTAGTTCATACAGACATATGGGGTCCTTCTCGCACTCTCACTGCGAATGGTGTTTCTTAACTTGTTATTTTTGTAGATGATTATTCTTGAATGACTTGGTTGTTTTTATTAGGGAAGCGTTCTGACTTGCCCCAAATAATTTCTAAGTTTTATAATGAAATTTTTACTCAGTTTGGGAAACGGATTAAAATATTTTGGTCTGATAATACCTTAGAATATGTACAATCTATTGCGAATGATTTTTGTGATGCTCGTGGTATTAACCATCAAACTAGTTGTGCTCATACATCCCAACAAAATGGTGTTGCTGAGCGGAAACACCGACATTTGCTAGATGTTGCCTGAACCTTGATGTTTAACATGCGTGTTCCTAAACCATTTTGGAGTGATGCTATGTTGACTGTGTGTTTCCTTATTAACCGTATGCCCTTTGTTGTTTTACATAATCAGTCTCCCTTCTCTCAATTGTACCCCAATTGTCCTCTGTTTCCTTTTCATCCTCGTGTTTTTGGTTGTGTGGCCTTTGTCCGTGTCCTTGTTTCAGGGCTGGATAAATTATCTCCCTATGCTCGCAAATGTATTTTTGTCGGCTATTCCCATACACAGAAAGGTTATCGATGTTATCATCCTGAGTCTCGTCGGTTATTTATTAGTGTCGATGTTACCTTTTTGAGTCCACCTCTTTTTTCTCCTCATCTGGTTAGCAATTGTCAAAGGATCTTATCTCTTGTTGTGAGGGGGAGATATCCATTCCAACTCCTACTCTTTTGGTGCCCTTTGTTTCCCTGTCATCTTCCGTCGGTTTGGATTCTTCTCCATTATCTCCTCTACAGGTTTATCAAAGGTCTCAAGCCCATCGCGTGGTTTCTTATGGCCCGACTACTTCATCTTTTGTGTTCGAGGTTCTTGCCCCTCCTTTACCTATGCCATCTGATGATGATTTACCTATTGCATTCCGAGGTAAACGTACTTGTACTCAATATCCTATGTCTAATTTTGTTTCTTATGCTCGTCTTGCCCCTAATTTTCACGCCTTTGCATATAGCTTATCTTGTCTTTCTATTCCATCTTCTTATTAGCAGGCTATGTCGATGTCGGGTTGGAAACATGCTATGGATGAGGAGATGAGTGCTTTTCATCAGAATCAGACTTGGGAACTTACACCTCTTCCTTCATTGAAACCTGTTGTTGGCTGTCGGTGGATTTATACTGTTAAGTATCTTCCTGATGGTACTGTTGAGCGGCTTAAAGCCCGTCTCGTGGCCAAAGGTTATACTCAAACCTATGGCGTTGATTATCTGGAGACCTTCTCCCC